GCGTGCGCACACACACACACACACACACACACACACACACACACACACACACACACAAAGTCATTTTTCTAATTTGTTCAGTATCAATCCACAAAATGAAATGCTGGCTTTGATTTTCTTTGAACCTTGATGACTAAACATACCACTGCCTTAAGGCATTTCACGTGTTGATACAAGATCTCAAGTATTTCACATGCCCTGAAAAGTGATCAGCTGATATTTCCTAGGAGCTTTAAAGTCTGTCATTTGCCTTAAAGGGAAACAGACAATACAATAACCCCTTCTCTGACACACACAATCTATTTACAGTGAAGATTTTGTAGTTTTTGTTCTTACCCAAAAGACACTACTATAAAAACTATACTTTGGTCTCAATGGTTACAAACTGATAACTTTAAGCAAATATCTCCGGTTCATGATTTGGGATAACCGGGCAAAAAAATGCAAGATCGAATTAAACGTTGTACAACAGACCACATCCTTACTTGGTTCTTTTTTTTAAGAAGTCAATAGGGACAAGTCACTGGGTTACAGATAAGGCAACTACATTTGCATTTACTTTATAGTTTGCAGGATGCAGAGAAAAGAAGTCCTTCTTTCACATCATATTTCCACTACCAATAGCAAGCCTTATTCTATGAACATATAGTATGATATTGTATCCAAGAATATTGTATGACAAGATATTGTATCCAAGATAATGTATGACAAGAATCCATGATTTCAAAATGTTTAAATTATTCATTTCACGGGCTTTGGCGATTTCAATTTACATATGATTTAGGATAACATTTGCCAGAGTGTTGGAAGATATATCAAAAGGTACAGAGGTTAGCAATTTAGAAACAAAATCAATTTTAAAGCACTAGTTTCAATGCAGATGCTTGTCATAAAATCAATCATACAAGCCCATCACATCAGTCATTCATACAGGCCAAACTACATCCCACCTACATTTAGTATAACATAAATGCATGCAGGTCCTACTGTGACCAGACAAGTAGAAAGTGAATTGCTAGACTATGATTTCATCTTAACCCATATGTGACCAGAGTTTTTTTGAAGGTTAGATGCCCAGACCAAGTTTAGCAGTGACAGTTATCATTGTGACTAAGAACTAGGAACATAGAGTTGTGCTTTCTCATGGTAAGGGGCATATTTAAAAAGGTGTATTGTTGTCCCAAAGAGGTTAAAAGAAGAACTATGAGGTGAATGCTTTTCACTCACCTCATAGTTCTAGCCGACCTTTGACAATGAGACTGTCACAGGTCGGCTCAGTAGATCGGGAAGTGAGCAAATACATACCGGCGTTGGCTAACTTCTCGATCCTGTCACGGCTCTCTGCCGTGACAGGGGAGGGACTGGATTCCCCCCTCCCCGCTCCGATCCGCCAGCGCTGACTGGCGGAACGGACGGGAAGGGTACAGCTGGCTCTGCCTCTAGATAGACAGAGCCAGCTGTCAGTCACGCAGCTGGGCGGATCCAGACATAATTGTCGGGATCCGCTTCAGCTGCGGCGTCTGTTTACCGCGAGCTGTAGCTGCAGCTCAGCTGTATACTGAGCTTAGGGTGACGGGAGGACGCTAGTTTGTGTCCTCCCGTTACCCTAAGGCGAACTACGGGGAAAAGCCCTAACCCCATAGTTCTCCTTTAATTAAGACCCTGACTGGCTCATTATTGAAGGACTGTTATGTACAGATCTTGTTTAGATTGTATTTCTGCATTCTTTAACATTACCAGAAGAAATGGTTTTATTTCAAAAGACAGCAGTTGGGTTTCAGCTTCTCATTTTAGAACAGTAGTAAATAGTAACGCCATGTCAAAAAACGAAGGGGGTAACGGCTACATTGGATAGTAGGTCTCTGAACTAATACCCCAGGCTCTCCGCCGTTATGGCATTAAATGTATTAATGACTCAGAACATCCATTTATCATGACAACAAGTAGTTAACACTTACTTGAAAGTGAACTTATCAGATTAACGCTAAAAGGCAGCCCCACCAGTTGTGCATTTTCTTTACTTCTGTACTACTTTGTTCAGTTGCAGGGAGCAAAGTGATGAATCCCTGCATTGTGGTGACTCAGTTTTCAAAAGCATTGCTGGGTGCCTGAGCAGCCAATCACCAAGTACCAGCATTGTCACCAACAGAGGAGATTTCCCATACCTGGAAAATGCTATTTAATGGTAATTACTCGGAAGCCCTTTCTTCTTTTGAAGAGTCTTATTTGCATACATTCAGGAGGCACTGCCTGAAGTCTCCTTACATCTATATAGTACCCCAGTTAAAGTTATATTATAAATAAGCACTTACCTTCTGGTTTAAGCAGAGAGATATTTCCATGTACTGACAAAGGCTGTTGGGATCAGAGAGTAGGGCACTGTGGTCACACTGCTCCATGTATCACTTGAAGGGTCATAACAGTCCAAAGTCTTTCCCCTCTGGGATCCACAGTACCCACCTACTACATACAGCCTATTGCCAGAGGCAACTGCACGGCAGCTAATCCTTTTTGAAGAAACATCTCCAAATCTGCACCACTGATAAGTCTCACTGTTAAAACGGTAGGCTGAACTGGCAGAGAACTCAGTGTCACCTCCTACAACAATGACATGATTTCCTAAAACAGCAGCTCCAGTGTAACGCCAGGGCTGAGGGCAGGTGGCAGGTACAGTCCATCTGTTTTGGATTGGATCAAAACACTGAACTTTGGGGAGTTTTTCACGGTTGACACTGGTACCTCCAAAAACAAAAAGCTTCATCTTTGCTCCTACAACTGCAGCATTGCTGACCCCTTCTCGAAGGGGAGCTACCAAGCTCCATTTGTCAACTTGGGGGTCATAATGTTCCACTTGCTTAAGGGAGACAGAAGGGGATGCGGGAAAGGTTCCTGTGATTGCGGTATGTCCTCCAACCACATATAAGCAGTTATCTAGTTCTGCTGAACCATGTCCAAACCTAGCAACAAGCATGGGTCCTGCCTTAGACCACTCATCATGTAATGTATCATACACCCAGACATCTTTTGATGCTCCATTTTCTGCCCCTTTTCCTCCAGTAACATAAACTTTGCATCCAATTGCACATGCACTACATTCTTTACGTGGACTGGGAATGTCAGTTTTAGGTATTATCTCTGTGGTCTTTTGGTCCATTACATAGATTTTGTCACACATAAAGGTTTGTCCACCTAACAGCAGCAGGGCCTGACTGACTTTACGAGGACGAGCACAAAATCCAGTCACTAAGCCATCATTCTGCAGAATCTTGTTCCTGCATTGGGTTGCTTCTTCAACAATTGCTTTTGCCACCTTATTTTGAACCACCAAGTTGTCTGTGGCTAGACTTCGCAAATATTGCTCTGGCAGAAGAGCTAACCTAACACAGCGCAGTACATCTGGTAGATCATCAAAACGAAGGCACAAATCATATTTTATCCAACCCATCACTGCTTCATACACTAAACTTTCATCTTCCACCTCCAGTTCTTCACTAAGGACCAGTTCCATCAGCTTCAGCTTTGGTAACCTGAGGAAGTCTTCTGTTTTTGACAACTCCACAAAATTTGATAGACACATTCTCCAGGATAATTCGAGCAATCTCTCACAGCAATGTGCATCCGATATTAACATCATGTTTAAGCAGTTGGCTACATGTAGATTTTTCTCGAGGAACTCTGCAGCTGCATCTCTAATGTCATGAAATTGTAGCATGTCTCCAGCTTCAAGCAAGGACTCTGCGTTCTCTTCATTAAGGATAATCCTTGCAGAGTATGCATAATCTAGAAGCAGCTGCAGCACCTCAGGATGCAGTGCATCATGGAAGTTGACTTCTCTATCTTGGCTTTCTTTCAGACCACCACTGAACATTGCCTCAAAGTAACGGCTGCTGGAAGCTAGTACAGCCCGATGACAAGGGAAGGCTTGGTTCCCCGCCAGCAAGGCTACATCTGTGAAGAGGCACCGTTTGCGAAGGAGGTTCAGCTGTGTTAGTAGGCTGTCAGCATGGCCAGGCTTGTGGAAAAGATGGATGTTCATGGACCCTGTACTGGAACGGGACTTGCGGTTCTCATGATTGCTAACAGACATTTTTATTTTTTGGGTATTTACTAATTTGTGATGGTAAATCTGAAACACAAAAATAATTTAAATTAGATTAAGGCTATGAAAAATGTAAATGTTCAAAACACTCCCAACATATCAGTTGTTAATTTTCCAATATGGAGTTTAGCTCTAAAAAGGAATATATGTGAAATGTTTGGGGGCTTCTTAGACTTAAGATTTGTTTGCAGAAGCGGTCTTGTTGGCCAGGATGTTCTTGAGAACTTTTAATAGCCAAAAATGGTGACCAGGCAAAACAATAGATTATAATTATACAGCTTTATACCGAAGGTGGCAGTAATAACACATTTCTTTAAAAATTATTGGTTATAAGAACCTATGTGTGTGTGTACTAGTAACATTCATTAAATAAAAAGGTAATTTTAGCTATACATTTTAAAGTGCATTTATTGAATTAGATTTCCTAATATATAAATGTTGCAGTTCATCTCAAACAACACACACACACACACACACACACACACACACACACACACACACTAGTTCTTTTTATTACAGCATATGCAAAATGTGTCATTCATCACCACCAGGAAATGCAGGCGATACACAGACAACTAACCAGTCACACAGCAATTTCATTAACTCTCCAACTGCCATGGAAAAATAAACCCATGACTAATAATACAGTATATTGTATTTTAAAGTGGACTTTTGAAGGTATGAATAGGACAGTTGCCACTGCTGACTTCCTTTAGAAGGGTGGAGGCCTTGAAGCTATCATCTTAATCCTGGCTTTATTAACTAATGAGTCACTAACCTGGGTCGAGCATGCACTAAAGTCTAAACTCACATTCTGTGTGCTTGACATAGGTCAGCAACTCACTCAGAACCTAAAGTAAACCCAAACGATGGCCTTAGCTTATAGAATGACCCTAGGCTCACAGAGAAGGTGACTGCACCCTTAGATTATTATTAGGGCATCAAGGAATCCCCAAAACCCAGTGTCTTCTAATATGCAAATTCACAGCTTCTGTGACTAGCCCATCTCAGTTCACAAACTATGCTTCAGATTGGCTGTTCATTGTATTTGAGAGTCAATAAGAAAGATTCAGGATAAGAGGAAGTAGGCTAGAGCTTGGCCAAAGAAACCATTTTTGATCCATCAATATACGGAACCCCAGGCTTTGAAGACTGTCCGAACATGCAAGCAGGCATCTGGAGCAGGGCAACCTATCACAGTATCATGCACCTTTTTCAAAAATTATTTGGCAGTGACTGATTCCATATTTCTATCACTGCTTAACTCTAACAGAGGATTATTCCTGATCATGAGGTTTATGGCTCTTTTCTTTTACTTGAAGCACAACGTTTGTATGAAATTAGTCAAAGAGCAAGGCACAATATTCTAAAACTGGCCATACCTGAATTGCATTTCAACCGACTTTTGTTATAGGGGCTGGGTGGAAAATTTTTGCCAAACAGTGACTGAAGCCAATCTGCTGAAGTTGCTATTAAGGTATGCGGATAGCTGTGGGCTGTCAGAATACAATTGCTGGCAGAGAAGAGTCCACCAGCCACACTGTTCAGGGTGGGTGGAGGAATCAAAAGATTTCTCTTGTATTGCCAATTGGCTGTATCTGTATCAGCATATGTAAGAATGGGTTTGCTCTTCTCCTATCAGCCTGTGGAAGAACAATGCACTCTAGAAAACCCTACTAGTATATAATAAATCAAGAGAGTCAGCAATCTGGAAAGATTTGCATTGCTGGAAAGTTTGTTTGGATAAATACATGTACTGATTTGAAATCCCCCTGATTTATAAATGAAATCACTCATCAATAACCATCACATATAAAAATATAGGAAGCAAATCAATCATGCCAGTCATGGGGTGGAGCACCCCAAAGCTATGTCAGGCTGGCATTTTTTTGTAGGTCCCCTGAAAAGGAACAAAAAAAGTTCCAGGCCTTTCTGTTCCACTGCATTGGAATGAAAGGGTGCTTCCAACATGGTATGGTGCTCACTAATGAATTCAGCTCATTGTTTTGCCAAGATGGTGTATGCACACTGGCACATTACATTGTAACAAATGTGACATTAGAACAAGAAGAAAAACCATCAATATCAGGTATTGTATACTAAGCCCCTGAACAACAACCATTTACAAAAATGCTGTGTTTGTGGCAATACCCAGTCAATTGATTATTATTTTTGTAAAAAATGTTTTCTTGAAAGGATTTTGTCACCAATAAAGGAAACCTTGAGAATGCATTTAATAGATAAAATAATAGGTTTCTGCCACATATGTCAGTGTGTGGGAATAAAATACCTTGAGCACTCCTGTAGTGCACCAGTCCACCCCACTGCGCTTTGTCAGTAAACTTGTAATCTGGAAAGGCGTTTTGCTCAACTGTTTGCCATAGAGGAGAGGTATTATTTATATATAAATATGCCAACTAAGGGCTCCTTGCTGGCTCTCAGATACAGAACTCTTTGGAAGTCTATACATCAAGCAGAGACAAAGTTAATCAGCATACCCTATTGGAAGCATAGCCAACCCACAACATATATGAAGACCTTGGAGAAATGTGCTGCTAAATATGGCATAGAAATCACATTAAAGATACCCTGTCATAAAAAAAGCACAGAAATCAAGTATGCTTACTGGCAGTGTTTTTCCTTTCCATAAATACTCCATATATTTTGATTCATTTGCAATGTGGATGAATTTGCTATACAATTTGACTACTTTAAGGCTTCTTTCACACGGATGGTCCAGTCGGGTCCGCCTATCAGTTTCTAAAGCGGAGCTGATTGGATGCCCAATGTAAGATTATGGGCAGCCATGTGTAAATGGACATCCGTCCATTTACACCCATTATCCCCGACTCCGGCCAGGTCCTGAAAAACAAACGTAACAGTTTTCCACTTTGCCGGATCGGATCGTGCCGAATCAGGGGTAATCTGATGTAAACAGACACATGTCTGTTTACATCCGATTCTCCATAGACTGGCATGGGGTCGACAATTGCAGTTCTTTCCTCCATCCCAAGACGGAGGAAAAAAAAAACTGTATGGGCACAGATGTGACATCAGCTCCATACTACTCTAAACAGGAGGGGATCCATGTGCGGATCCTCTCCTGATCAGCCCATGTGAAAAGGGTCTTAAACTCCTTAGCACAGCCCCCTTTCTCCTTGCACATCAAAGACCTCTCCTCTTCTGGGAGTGTCTAATTACTCTTTGTTGGCCCAGCTCCTTCTCCCCTCCTTTTATCTCCCTACATAACCTTTTATATAGCTATCGGAGTCTGCTTGGGCTGCTGAAATCACATCAAAGATGGTGGCACCCAGCAGAAGTTTCAGGTATTTTGGATGTCTACACACGGGAGGCTTTTACTGGTAAATAGCATGCACAAAATATGTTACATGCACATACAATCTTATGGAAAAGCTTTTCTTGAAATTAATGTTCTAGGAACATGGTCTATAAACTTGGTGTATTTTCTCACATTAGCACACTTGCAATAATTGCTTGATATCGTAAGCAGTATTTGTAATTGTAATTGGCTACACTGGTTGCCCATCGTTCATTTTTAGTGTTACAATGTAAAATTTGTATTTACCTAAATAAAATGAAAATCATTTTTTGTTCTGCATTTTGGATATCATTTTGCTATAACTTGTAAATATTTGGAAATTAATCTTGCATACAATGTATAAAAACATTTTTTTGTACATATGTGCAATTGTTGCATGTGTGCATTAGGCTAGCCATACACTGTTAGAATTTCGTCAGATTCACAGGAAATTCTTACACGTGTGTGGCCCTGCTGGTTCAACAAAACTCAATTACTGTATTGACTTTTGTTGAAGGAGCCGGGCCAAAAGTTTTGGGCCGAACAGTGACTGCAGCCAAGCAGCCACAGTCTCTGTTCATGTATTAAAGTAGCAGGCGTTGGCTGTCACATACAATAGCCACAGTGAGAGATTCGCCATTCCACCCTGTTTAGGGTTTCAAATTGTACAGTGTATGGCTAGCTTTATACTCTTCTGCTCATTTTAAACATTTCATACTGTATATTTATCGGACAAACTAAAAAAAAAGCACAATAGCAGGTTTAAAAATGAATTGTTATTTGATGTTCAAATGCATAGTAAATGCTTCAAGAAAGATATCAGTATTGTGTATCAGCCAATATCGCCAATCATTTGTCAAAGACAAGCGATAAAACAATCAGGCTGCGAGCCAGCAAGAGAAATAATAAAAGTTTATAAAGGAAAGAGCGATTTTAAAAGGATGCTTAGACAAGCATATCACAAAGGATAAAGTATAGTTCTTCATAGAGGATAAAATCTCTTTCGGTTGATTACAATGAATGCGGGCGACTTAGCTTTGAACTGCCCTAGCAGTAGGACAAAGGTCTCAACTTCATTAATTATTAAACTATGTGAAGTTAATAAACAATCCCTAGAGACTCACACTGTACACTCCTAAGCAGCTAAACACACAAAACAGTCATTGTCATTTCCTGCTATACACCAGGCGGCACATTAAACAGCACTGCGGGTCACAGTTAACTCTCTCACCCCCAGAACAGCCCAGCTACGTGCAGAGACTGTGCTAGAGATGGTGGTGGGGGGACTCTATAATTATAGGATACTTATGTAAAGGCAGCCAGACAAGTTTAGACGTATATCCTTGGCTTCTAGTAGCCTCCAGGAAGCGGATGTGGATGGAAGCTCTGCAAGAACTCAAAGCCTTTCTTTCACTTAGACAATCTATTAACCCAATACATCAGTTACCCTGGAATTTTATATTACAAAGCAAGGATCCTATAATCTCATACATGGGATATAAAATGATCCCAGCTTTAAGAATCACATCATTCGCTTGCACTGAACCCGCCCCACACGTCCCCCATGTGCATGAACATATCTAGATGAAATTCTTTCCAAAACCTAAAGCTGGGTGTACATGCCCATGGGCTGAACAAAAGAACGGGAAAAAAATAGAACAGATTCCCCCGTTGTTTGCATTGTATTTTGATAGCGGCTGCT